ACTGCTAATCACCCTAACCGTGTAACTGACACTAATTTGTACATTTCAACCAAGAAGGAAAACAAAAGCCATTCTTGAAGAAGCCACCCTGGAGTTACCTGGGACAGGCTGCTTTGTCGTAGCATCTTTATGATGGAATTAATGTAATCCTTCCTCAAATGTTCCTTCTCCCGTCAAATCTGTAGTAGGGGAGGGATGACGGGGTTCTGTGCAACCTGTCTGTGGTGCAGCCCTGCCGTTAGGGTCCCACAAATCCCTCAACTCCCCTCCCCCCCACCCCAAAGCACTAAAGACAGTTGGCGCCTTTAAAACTGGGAATGTGTGGAAACAGCGCTAGCATGGCAAGGCGTTCTCCAGTTTCCATCCTTACTGGGAACAAGAGCAGAGCTGCCTGCTTGCCAGATGATAGGAGGAGGAGGAGGAGCTCGGTGTCTTCTGGAAATCCTGTCCCTGGGCAAGGCAGCTCGGTGCGGAGTCTCACTCAAGTTTGGTGGAACTTCTGCACTTTCATTGTGTTGGTTAATGTGAAAGAAGTCTAGGCACTTAACGCATAGTTTGGTGCCAGTGGCAGGCTGCTGTCACCAGATTGGCCAAAGCAGCAGAGGCGTCTCTGCACAGACTTCCAAAAATGAATTTCAGGTTCTGAAATTGTACTTTTTGGCCAGTGTGATTTACCTTGTTATATCGTGATAGTCTCTTCCCCAGCAAATATTAGTGGATCATGAAGTTATCTTGGGCAGAGTCTCTTCCTCGCTGCACATCCTGTACAAAGCTCCTTATTTTGTAGTTCCTCTGTCCTTTTGTCCCACCAGCTACTTTGGTGGCTGTGCAGCCCCTCCCTTCACTCTATTGGCTGGAAATAACTTTTAAAGCACCAGCTTTGCTTGACCTTCTAGCAGCAAGATGCACTTCATTACCGAACACTAGATTTGTAAGTTTCACAGTGGTTTCTTCTTGTTCTGCCAATAGGCAGTAGTCACTGTCCTGTAATATCAGCTAGAGGCTTTGTATGTAGACACAATTGGTGTCCTCTGTGACCCTGTGGTTTGGTGCTTCTAGGTGGGCGTAGTTGAATCGGGGAACTTCTGAACAAGTATCCTGATGTTTTCTCCTTTGATCATGTCCTTGCAAACCCTTTTCTGAATTCTTTGATACCAGAATAGCTTACAGAAATTCTGTTAGTTAGTAATTGGGAAGCAAAGTCTTCTAAGGAGTTTTGTAAAGTTGTATGCACATCTTGTCTCTGATTTCTAGCTACTTCACTTGTGGGATTTGGGGGATGGAGGCCTGCTTTTTAAGGCTTTCCATTCATTAAATACCCAGATATTCATCTCACTCACTGAGACACACCCTAAGCTTATCTGCTTTATCAGCTTTCTCTTGTTTCACTGCTGGTTATAAACTTTTCAAGTTCCTTTCCTTGTGCTATCATATAAGCCAGCCGAAGAATTCTCAAATTTGGCCGAATATTCCATATCTGTAGCAGGTCTTATCATTTCAGTAACTCTGTTCAGACCTCAAGTATTTGGTAATATCTTGAAGAGACTAATCAGGAGCCTCTCCCTCCATATTTTTTTTAAGTTGTTATTATCAAGATAATATACTATGTATTGGCAGAAACTGAAGTAACATTTCATCTATATGTATATAAAGCATAAGATGTACTGGTTCAATATTAGCAATTAAAATCAAGGATAAAATTGGGGGTGGCTGTGTTTTTGGTGTGTGTGTGTGTGTGTGTGTGTGTGTGTGTGTAAGTGATGTATTAGTAAATCAAGTGATACTAATACATGCCTGGTACCCTCTTAAGAATTCATGTGTCTCCCTGTGGTGAAACAGTCTGTCTTGGTTCTTCAGTGAGTAGGCAAATGAAGAAGGACCTCAAATGAGGATCTCAAGGCCTGGGTCCGTTCATTTGGATAGAGGTGACCCTTAAAAATATTGTGGTCCTGAACCATTTAAGTCTTTATAGGTCAAAACCAGTATTTTGAATTGGGACTGGAAACTGGCAGCCAGTGCAGTCAGACCAGAATCAGTGTAATGTGCTCAAACCATCTTTCCCTGATGAGCAACCTGGCTGCTGAATTCTGCAATAACATGTTCATCATCTGTGCACCGTTGAGTTTCAAAGTCTCTCTTTTCTTGCTCCACCAAAATTCAGCTGGCCACTGAATTCTGCACCAGCTGTAGTTTTAGAACCATCTTCAAAGGCAGTCTTACATATAATGCATTGCAGTAATATAAGAGATTAAAAGGTAAAGGACCCCGTTGGTTAAATCCAGTTGCAGAGGACTCGGGTTGCGGCGCTCATCTCGCTTTACAGGCAGAGGGTGCCTGCGTTTGTCCACAGACAGCTTTCCAGGTCATGTGGCCAGCAGGACTGAGCCGCTTCTGGCGAACCAGAGCAGCGCACGGAAATGCCGTTTACCTTCCCGCCGGAGCAGTACCTATTTAGCTACTTGCACTTTCTGGCGGGCTTTCGAACTGCTAGGTTGGCAGCAGCTGGGACTGAGCAACGGGAGCTCACCCCATTGCGGGGATTCGAACCGCCAACCTTTTGATCAGCAAGCCCAAGAGGCTCAGTGGTTTAGACCACAGCGCCACCCGCGTCCCTTAATCTAAAGAGATTACCAGAGCATTGAAGACAGTAGTTGGGCTATCTCTGTCCAGATAGGGGCACAGCTCAGTCACCAGCTAAAGCTGATGGAAGGTGCTCCAGGCCACCAAGGCCAGCTGAGCCTCAAGCGACAGCAAAGGCTCCAGAAATGCCACCGAGCTGTGGGCCCACTTTTTCAGAGGGAGTATAAGCCCATCAAGAGCAAACTCTCACCTCCTTACCCATAGCAAGGGCTGAAGGTAAGCTTTCCCGGTTGGCAGTGTCTGCCAAGCCCTTCAAGATGAGCTCTTTATTCTCCCAACTCCTTATTTATGGAGGAGGAAGGATTGTTAGATGAATTTGCCTGTAGTAAAGGTAAGCACAGAGCGGTGGAGAGAAGGAAAACGATAGAGAAGAGTTTAAAACAATCTGGATGCTATGTTGAGTTTAACGGTGGATGGATTCTCAATCTGAAATGGCGGGAGGTTAAAGCATTCTTCAGGTGTTGCGATGCAGTGCATGGGAAACTTGCAGTTGGGGGTGAGCGCTGGTTCTGCCAGTGTCGCCATCCCACTCGTGACAGTGAAGCAGTGCACCTCTTGTGAGGCTTCTCTCACATCCTGTAACTTGGAAAAGTGATATACCTGCAAAAAAGGGAAATAAGTGGGTCATGCACAACAAATAGTCACATCCATTGCACAAATCTTGGAAAGTTCCCATGAATCGGGGAATTAGCACCGTGGCAGAGGAATGACTTAAATAATGCCCTTTCTCTGCACCTGTCACGTTACGTCCCATAGGAGACTGTTTTAATGATGTGCTGCCATCTGGTGGGCAAATGTGATTCAGTTTAATTCCTTTCTGCATATTGTTTGCCTAGTACAGTGGTACCTCGGATTAAGAACAGTCCAGTTTAAGAACGATTTAGTTTACAAACTCTGCAAAACCGAAAATAGTGTCTTGGTTTGAGAACTTTACCTCGGTCTAAGAACGGAATCCGAATGGTGGAAGGGCACCGGTGGCGCGAGGCCTCATTAGGGAAAGCGCACCTCGGTTTAAGAACGGTTTTGGTTTAAGAACGGACTTCCAGAACGGATTAAATTCGTAAACCGAGGTACCACTGTATATCATTGCATTTTGGAATTTTCCAAGATGACTGTCTAATATGTGCCCCAGCCATTATTGTCATTATGTTTCTTACCTGCCTTTTACCTGAAGGTCCCAGGGCGGGTACAGCAATATAAAATGCACCATTCATTCAAGATATTTGTCCGGAAAATATTTATGTTGCAGTATTACTGAAACATACGGAGCATATTGGCATTTGATGTATCATATTCCCAACATTTATTACAGTGGTGCCTCGCAAGACGAAATTAATTCGTTCCGCGAGTTTTGTCGTCTTGCGATTTTTTCGTCTTGCCAAGAACGCAGTCGTAAAAGTTAAGGAAAAGCTTCAAAAAGCACCAAAGTCTTCAAAAACCTCAAAAAAGGCTACCACACTGCGTTCTATGAGTTGCTCCTCGAAGTCAAGTCGCAACTGTATTAACGGTGTTAAGAAAAAGGAAACAAACTTGCAAGACGTTTCCGTCTTGCGAAGCAAGCCCATAGGGAAAATCGTCTCGCGAAGCAGCTCAAAAAACGAAAAACCCTTTCGTCTAGCGAGTTTTTCGTCTTGCGGGGCATTCGTCTTGCGGGGCACCACTGTATTTGCCCCTGGATATATTTGGTTTAGCCTAGCCCAAGTGCCAACAAAACAGAAATTTACAAAACATTATTTAAGATTAGTACTAAAAGTTTGCTGTGGGGCAGCGTGCCACCTCCACTGACAGCTGTAATCTCACAGTTCAGGGTTTCTTCCCATTTAGTTTGATGTGCAGTAGCAGAAACATCACAGTTCATAGAAAGTCCATGCCCTTTGCTCAGTAACTTTGATCTTCCCCTGCTTTACCACCAGGTTTTCCACATCTGTAGCATCCCACAATGGGCAATATTTTGTCATTAAGCAGTTAGCTATATTTCTTAATTGTAAATACTGAAAAATTGTGGACATGGCCCTCCTATTTCACTGCTTATTTTGTTACAGGATTTAAAATACTCGTTTTTGAAAATACTCCTTATCTCAACCAACCCATAACTGCACCATGATTTCAGATGGCCTAAGATAGTCTTGTCTTCCATTTCCTCGTTTTATTCTGTTTCTGGTAAACTGATGTTATTTCCACTTTGCATTGACCAGAAATGTGGCACAATCTGAGGGAAGGGAGGGGTGAGCCCAGGGCAAGGCAGAGACAGTGGCCAATCGCTGAGAAGATTGCCTTTTAATTTGGGGGACTGGGCTGGTAGGACTTCCCCTTTCCATCTTGGAAGTTCCTTTTTCACTTCAGCTCTTGTGGAGCTTTCCAAATGAAGAAGTACTGAAAGAACAAAGACTTCCTAATATGACACCTCATGGGAGGGAGAGTTAGAAACCCCTTGCTTTAGTCGAGCTTTCATTTGTAACCTGTTCTCCAAACCAAATGCAAATCCCTTTCCACCAGTTTCACCTTAAGCTTTGAAAAGGACTCTTCAAATGACATCAGAGGTCACCTATGCTGAAGTGAGGTTCAAGAACAACGGGCCTTCATCTGCTGAACCCAAAGGTAAATGATCTGCCGGTGGGGTGCAAGGGCATGTGTGCTGGGGTGTCGGCAACCGAAACGAGCCTCTGGGCACTTCTTCCCTAGTTGTGTTGTTTTAGGACAACTTGGCTATAGAATACCTTTTCAGTTTTCTGATCTACTGTTCTGTTTAAATTCGGAGCAGGCGGAATTCAGACAAGTGTATACTTTTTTAGTATGGAAACCTAGCAGTGGGAAAACATTGCTGGCTCGGCAAGTCCCCGTGTGCTGCGCTAAACCGGCGCAGGGCGGGGACTCGCTTCCATGGCGCCAGAAACCGTGTCGACGCAGACGCTGGAAATCACGGGCGCACGCGCAATCCAGCCCACGGAGGGATCTCGGCTGGAGTGAACCGGCCCAGGCGAGGTAAACCTTGCTGACCCCTGTGTAATCCCATTACTCTATTGGGATATGTGGGAATTTGCCAGTTGGAGGAAACAGTACAGCCTGGATCAAAATAGTGCAGCTTCCTTTGTCAGAGATGAACAAACACACACAGAAACTTGAGGAAGGGAGGTGCATTTATATTTTTGCCACTTGGTTGCCATCCATTCCTTTCTGATAAATGTGAGATTAGAAAATGCTTAAGAAGTAAGATGGAGACCTTGAGGTGTGCCTCACTTTAATGGTCTCTGGTAGATTATTATTACTGGCTGGTGTCATTATTTCTTAAATTTACACCTCTGACTTAATGATCTCAGCAGAGCTTTCAAGACAACTTGCAAAATAAAAGTCCATAAACAAGCCCGATCAAAATTGGTTAGGATTGTATGCCATCTGCTCTTCACTGACCTCTGCTGGCCGATGGAAAGGGGGTGCTTCATTGTGGAAGAGACCCCAGGTTTGCCTGGGCAGGCAGTAAGCAGCCACCATCGGATCTTTCATACGTAGTAGAGAGCAGAAAGCTACAAAACTGGGTGCTTCAAAGCAGGATTCAAAGTATCTGCTAGATCCAAAGCCCTTTGGATCCCCAGAGGGGCCTGATCTTTGGGCCCCTCAGCTACATCATCCTGGAGCTAGAGTAGCAAAAAGTTCTAGCAAAATCCTCCCTCCCTGCCAGTTTTCTGCCCTGGCTGGTGAGAGCCATCGAGGGTCTGAGCTGCAGCACTCAATCTTTCAGACTGCCCCCCTGCCAGACCCCATGTAGAAGTGCCTTCCTCCACGTCTAAAAACGCACCACAGAGGTTCTAGACGATGGACTAGGGGTTCTAGGCTAGTCCCCTAAATGTTTCCCTGGCACCTCCTTGCCAAAGCCCAGGAAGCTTCTGCCCAGGTTAGGGAGGGAAGCGCGATGCTCATGTGCACGATGCCCCCCCCCTGCAAATCTCCCTCATAAGCCTCTGGCCCTAACTGTTCCCCTATGAAAAATTTCACCCCACCCCACTGATTCTCGAGTATCCAGGTCTTAACCAATCTCCTAAGAGCTCAAAGGAAATGGTCATGGCAGGCTTTCTGAAGGAGCGATTCTCCAAAGAGGACTCTGCCAATGGGAAGACCCTGCCTGGTTGGTCTAATATTTGATAGTCATGGTACCTAGGCCCTTGGGGTGGCTGACTCAGATGGGGGCAGAAAACCTTTTCCCTGAGGAAAGGTTATCATGCTTAGGGCTTCTTCATTTGGGGAAAAGGCATGATAAGAGGTATATAAAGTGGATATGTGGAAAAAGTGGACATGAATAAGTTTTCCTCCATCTCTAACAATACCAGAACTCAAGGTCATCTTTAGGAAGCTGGCTGTAAGAGGTTTGGGGCAGACAAGAGTGTACTTCTTGTGCATGGCTGAAGTGTGGAAGTCACGAGCACTAGGTGGAGAAGTAAGACAAATTCACAACGGTAAAGGCCATGTTATCATATTCAAACTGGGAAAGTGACCTCCATTGAAAGATGTGACGGCCATGCTTGACACTGAGTACTGGAGACAGTCTGCCGCTGAATACTAGTCTGAGGAACACGAGGGGTGAGAGTGCTGTTGGCATCTGGCTGTCTGGCCTCTGTGGGAAACGGCTGCTGGATGAGGTGGTCTCTTTCTTCCATCTCATGTTCGTATGCCATGGGCTGCTTGTCCATAAAAGTATGGCACTTAAAAACCTTTCCATCTGGAGACACGTAACCTTCAAGAAGATGGCACAAGGAGCCTTTTCCTTTTAGAGCATTCATCAAGCAGACTAGAGAAGGTGCAACTTAACTGGCAAGCATCAAGGAAAAAATGGCTTCAAAGGCAAAAACAGGAATGGTGCACATCTGTTCTGGACTAGCGGGTCTGAGAAATGAGCAAAAGGCTATTTTTGCCTAAAAAGCCCCACTTCCCCAATATTCCATACACGCAAATGTGCATGTCAGCTTTTTGAACACCAGCATTACACAAATTTCTGGCTGCCAAGCAGAATCAACTTGCATGATGTGCTAATGCCCAGCAGAATTATAGTTAATGGGGAAATACACTCAGAAACTAATTTGCATAAGTGGCCTATAGAGAATTTGTAATCTTCCCCAAAAATCTGCAGGCAGTGGATTTTTCAAAAATGATTCATAGTCACAAGGCATTTGTGTATATGAGAAGTGCAGAGCAGGCACATAAGAAGCTATTTTAGACAGTCATGTCATTGGCCTATCTAGTTCAGTAGCCAGTGTTGGGGCCCCCAGATGTTCTGAACCCCCTGTTCTCATCACCCCCAGCCGACTATCTTCCCCATGGCCCGAGGCTGGAGGCTGCAGCATTATGGGGAGGGGCCCTCTGCTCTAGACCATCTGTGCTGACTGGCAGTGATATTCCAGATTTCACAGCCCTAAATGGAAATGTCAGGGATCGAACCTGGGATTTTTGCCTGCAAAACATGTCCTCTACTACTAAGGCATGGTCCTAAGTCATTGCTACTGAATCATTATGTCCCCCAAGCAACAGAGAGTCTTGTCACACTTTACAGACGGCTGTTGGCATATGGTTTCAAGTGCACAGAACTAGCTTTCCCATAGGTCATTATTCTTCAGCCGTGTGACTGCGAGTGCAACAGTGATGCAACAGCATGATTAGACATTTTAAGGGTTAACTAGCTTGCCCTGAGTGCATTTGAGTAAGTACACTTTACCTTTGTAATGGTGACATTTTCACTTTTCAGGATCTTCAGGAAGCGAAAAACCACTTAGTATATTCCAGAAATGCAAGCCCTGGTTTCCGTGGGTGGTGTCAGGGTTTTTGATGTTGCTCTCCGTCATCCTTCTTGTTTTCATCATTGGTGAGTAAAAAGCAAACTGAACTTAAGAGAAAGGGGAAGATTCTGCTAAATGGTTGCGTAAAATTTCTGAGTAAAGCAGGGAGAAATAAAGCCTGCTAGAGATAAGTAGACTTAGTAGGTATTCTCTCCCTTTAGCAGAGAGTATGACAGAACCTAAAAGCTCTCCAGTTGACAAATGCCCTTCAAATTGATGAAGTTTGGATCGGACATGTTGTGATGAGGAGTGCACTAACATAATTAAACAGAATCCTCATTCATACTCACTCACTGTTTCCCATCCATTCAGGTAATCTCCTTTTTAAAAAAAATCTAGCACCAAAAGGTTTGATAGATCACTTGCTCTCTTGACCATCATGGCTGATTCAGATTATCCAAAGGGAAGTCACTGGTTTGGTGGAGGATACAGTGAATGCATCATTATGTGAGAGAGTGGTGCCTGCTAATCTTAAATAATCAGTACAGTGGTACCTCGGGTTAAGAACTTAATTCGTTTTGGAGGTCCGTTCTTAAGCTGAAACTGTTCTTAACCTGAGGTACCACTTTAGCTAATGGGGCCTCCTGCTGCTGCTACGCTGCCACCGCGTGATTTCTGTTCTCATCCTGAAGCAAAGCTCTTAACCCAAGGTACTATTTCTGGGTTAGCGGAGTCTGTAACCTGAAGCGTCTGTAACCCGAGGTACCACTGTAGTTTTTAGTGAACTAGGCAGTGGCAGCTGATCTGGCATTTTTGAAGATGTCCGTCCATTCAGGATTTACTGCAGAGGTGCCCAATTCCAGACTGTTCAGGGGTTCATCACAGTGTTAACACCTCCTTCTGCGACCGAGCCTTTTTTCTTGGACTCTGCAGTATTATATGGTCCTGCTGTTCATTCCCTTTTCCCAGTTATCCTCAAAGGAAGTCCAAAGAAGGGATTTCTCAAAAGCCAGTTTCAGAAATCAACAGAATGGAATTGCCTCCTGAAGAGCCCTGAAGGAAAAGGTGAGTCACTATGAATTAGAGGGTCTGATGGGCAACAAAGGAAGCCACCTTAGTATGTGACTAAAGGTTAGACGCTTTAAAATAAAAAGTAGAGAGCCACCCTTTAAAGGAGCCCCTTAAAAGCAGGAATTGATCCAGAAATGCAGTTGGAATAGTCTGCCAAAAAGTTTTTAAAATATATAAGTGGTTTCTTTTTAAAACAACAACAGCAGCAGCAGCAGCAGCAGCAGCAGCAACAACATTTAAATGTGTCTCACATAAAAATTCCTGAATATATTTGCCTTGATCCACTCCAGAGGGGCTAATATGTCTGCAAGTTTTATTGACTTCTGCCAAAAGAAAAAAGTTGCATATTCTCCCATAATAAATGTGGTGAGGATAAAACAACACTTCCTTTTTTACTGTGTACTGTTGAGTACCCCCAGAAAAAAAGCACTGGTTCCAGTGTTTTGAGAACCACATAACACAAGTGGGAGCTGCAAGGAAATGCTGCAATGTGGCATGGTCCTCTTCAGGATTCTTGGCAGCTGGCCATGCCCTTTCCTCAGATACTCCATTCCACCCACTTCCCAGTTTTCCACCCATTCTCCCAGACAGTCAGCCTTCCATGCCTGCTGAACTGTTTCTGATTCACTCTCGATCCCTGACTTAGTTTTTTCTGATCATTTTTTGCAGTTCTGCAAACCTGGAGGTTCCCTTAAGCCTCCTTGGGGAGCATTGCATTGGCTCTGCCACAGCATTCACAGTGCATTATGCGCCCCACTGCCTTGTCCTTCCCAGTCTCCCTCTTGGTAAGCAGCAACAATGTGCTGGTTCCAGCTGCACTTAGTTTGGAAAATAAAGCATTGCTGAGCTCTAGTCTGAGCTTGAATCCTTCACTATTCTTTGCTCCTGAGTGATGCTTGCTCCTCAAGCTTGCCTCCTAGTTCAGGCCGGAATTGTTGTTTGTTCATGACTGCTGGTTTGCCCTATCACTTCTGGGTCCCAGCTTCTAGCTCTCCTCAGACTGCTGCCCACAGTTCAGCCCTGGTAGCAGGAAATGGAGTTCCCTTGCTTGTGTGTCTGACCAGTAAAAAGCTCCTCCACAGTGTGTGTCTCATTTATCATTTCTTTTCATGATACACATTGCCTTAACTGCTACCGCATGCAGTTCAAGTTTTTTCCTTTAGTTTTTAAAGCCCTAAACAACTTGGGAACTGTTTACCCAAGGACTGTGTCATACCACTCTCCTCGGCTGGGTATTGCTAAGGGTACCACTTGCCCCAGGGATGTGCTTAATATGCATGTACTAGAAACCAGGTTTTTAGGATTGCAGCTCCAGCCCTCTGGAGTCAGTTAGCAACTGAAATTAGACAAGTGCCTAATTAGACCCTGTGTGACCCAGTAGTTTTATGGAATATTAATAGTACTATTGCTTTTAGTTTACTGAGTCTGTCATCTTTTTTGTTTTGTCTTATTGGGCACTGCTTTGGCCACTTTGGGTTGTGAAATATAATAAAAATAAAAATACCCTGCCCATCTGACTGGGTTGCCCCAGCTACCCTGGGGTGAATTTGGGGTTCAAAAAGCCTGCCAGGTTAGGACTATATCCCCACTGAAAACCCCATATGAAATCTGAATTATAGTGCCTATCTGAACATGTGAATTCCTGCTGGTGAGTCAACCCTTGAACAACTAAGAAATAAAAATGTAGACTTAACTCCAAGCTGCTTCCCTCACTTATGGGACTTGTCTGTTGATGTGAACAATGACACATGAGCCCGGAAATCGCTGCTGCAACCTGTGCAATCTCCCAGGCTTCAAAGGGGAACTCTAGAAGGCGGAATTGTTGTCACGTAGCTTTCAGCTGAGGACAAGTGTCCACTATCTTAATAGCAGTAAATGATGTGGTGTAGTGGTTAGAGCCTAACCTACCTCACATGGTTGTGGTGGGGATTTGAGGATGGGGAGAACACTGTACGCCACCTTGAGCTCCTTTATGAAAAAAGAAGAACAAATGATGGTTCACCAAAGGGAAAGGTGAGTTGAGTGTGCACACTGTGAGCAGCACTCTTTGCACCCCTTTAAATTCTGCATGTCCACTTATTTTCTGACCCTTCCCTGTGCATATTTTTGAAACAAAAGAAAGGATGCGCAATACTACAAATGGAACGTGCAACTTAAAAAGTGGGACAACTTAACGGATTGTGATGAAAAATAGCAAAAGAAAGATCTGGGGAAAGGGCTGGGAGTGGGTGGGAGAGACCTGTTTCCAGTTGCAACAAGATTTCAGGTTGCTTCTTGTTGTCTCTGCTTTCCTTACAGAATCACAGCTGTCATGTTGCATGGGGGAACTAGAGCAATTTGGATCCAGCTGCTACTATTTCTCCAAAGATGAAAGGACCTGGAACAAGAGCAGGGCAGAATGCATGAAGAAGGGCTTTGACTTGGTGATTATAAATTCAGAAGCTGAGCAGGTGAGCTCAGTGGCATAGCATGGGGATGGCCTCAGGCGCAAATTTGTTAGGGGCGCAAAATGTCAATGCCCAGTGCTGCCTCACTGGGCACCGTTGAGAACAGCTTCTCCATGTGAACCAGGAAGTGACCTCTCCAGACAACAGAACAACTCTTCTTTTCTTATCACTGCAGCTATTATCTCCTGTGTGATGTGGATGCTTTTAGGAAGTTGAATGCGCATGCGCCGTCCATTTCCCTCCCTCTCCCACTCTGTGTGGTGCTGGGTGAGCTACTGTAGGTCAGCCTTCCCCAACCTGGTGCCCTCCAACATGACCATTGGGCAGGGATGATGGGAGCCGTCCAATGACAACAGAAGGGTTCCAGGTTGGGGAAGCTTGTGCTACATTTATCATGCCTGGAAGCAGCATGTTAGAAGAAGCATTTCTATCTCCCACCACTCAGCTATATTTGTGGTCTTTAGTTGCATTGGTGTTTACATGCTACGACAGGCAGCCTTGGGTTTGGGGTTTGTTTGACACAAAAGGATCCCCAAAGATCTCTGCTCCACAAAGACAGCTAACCTGTATAGACTGCTATTAACTGAAAGTTTGGTTCAAATTTTTGTGCAGGGATTCCTTACAAACCATACCCAGAACAGTCAAGTGGAAAATTTTTGTATCGGTCTCACAAATCAGAAGGGAGCAGATCAATGGCTTTGGGTGGATGACACTCCTCTTGACCCCATGCTAATGTGAGTAATACTTACATAGTAATAGTTATATTTAGCATTTATATTGTGCTTTTCAAATGTGCTTCATAGGCACATTGCAGATTGGGATGGCAGCTGAGGTTGAGCAAATACTGCTTTGGGTTGCAGAAGGCCAGGAGTGCCAGCTGGGCCCTGTGACCGTGGGTGCCCTGGGACATGGGTGTCATGCAGCGTTTACGGCCCTGGCACTGAAATTTGTGAGTGCCTGGCCCCTTCATGGGGAATTTTGTGGGTGCTCGGGCAACCAGGGTCCCAGGGGTTTGGCAGGGAATTTCAAACTCTCCATATTTCCTCTCACCAAACAGTCGTGGGATAGGGATAGCACTGTGACAGAACAAAATGGTCAAAGGCCTGGAAACGATGCCTTATGAGGAACGGCTAAGGGAGCTGGGCATGTTTAGCCTGGAGAAGAGGAGGTTAAGGGGTGATATGATAGCCATGTTCAAATATATAAAAGGATGTCACATAGAGGAGGGAGAAAGGTTGTTTCCTGCTGCTCCAGAGAAGCGGACACGGAGCAATGGATCCAAACTACAAGAAAGAAGATTCCACCTAAACATTAGGAAGAACTTCCTGACAGTAAGAGCTGTTCGACAGTGGAATTTGCTGCCAAGGAGTGTGGTGGAGTCTCCTTCTTTGGAGGTCTTTAAGCAGAGGCTTGACAACCATATGTCAGGAGTGCTCTGATGGTGTTTCCTGCTTGGCAGGGGTTGGACTCGATGGCCCTTGTGGTCTCTTCCAACTCTATGATTCTATGATTCTATGAGAACCCTTGTTCTTCTTTATTTTGGTAGTTCACAGCATTCTGGAGTGAATACTTTTTACAAAGTTAGGTGCTAGGGTTTGCTTTCATGTGCAGGAGCTCCAATCAAATCCAATATTATGTGTGTCTTCACAAAAGGCCAAAATAGGAACATATTTTCATTTGTGGTGGGAGTGCCCTCGGTCTCAGATGTTCTGGTTCAATTTTTGTTGTTGTTGAAATAAGGAATATTCTTAGAGAACCTGTTCAAGACATACCTCAAATGGCACTATTACCGATATTTGAAGGTAGAAAAATTCAGAAATAAAACTATTTACTTTGTTTTACTAGTGGCAGCATGTGCTACTATGGAAGATATTAGAGGAATGGGACATTGGAAAATGGTGGGATAATGTTTGGAGAACAGCCATACAGGAAAAACTTACATGGCGTGTTAGATTATTGTCTGGTAGGATTAAGCCAGAAAGCTTTGGGGCAGTTTGGAGAGATCTTCTTGAATATACCAACAGGGCACAGCTGCCACACTCCTTGACAGCAGCTTCAGCATATATGCGGAGGATGTGGAAATGGTAGGATTTTTGTAGAGTTATATTGATAAACTTATGTGTCCCAGTTTCCCCATCTATTTAGCTCATTTCCTATGTTTATATTCCTTCTGTGACATACACTAGTCATCTATATTATTGACATCTACTGTCCATCCAAACATTATTCACCATTTCTCCTCAACTGTGCTTTATTGTTTTCTAAACTATGTGCAAAATTAAGAGAGTATTTTTTAAAAGGCAAATAGAGATTTGGTGGGGTGAAGGGGATTGGTGCAATGTGTGGCAGAGCTATATACCTATTTTTCCTTGCCGCCGCCACCACCAACTTACCCATAAACAAGAAATCTACAATCCTGTCACAATATATAAGTAAAAATATAGAGAGAGGATTAAATAAAAAACATATTCACCAGCGCTGGTGTCCCTGGTAGCAATTAGAGAAGCAGCCTGAAGTCATTCAGACTCCAGTCAAGCTGGCTTCTCCAAATTCAGGCAGAGCCAGGTCTATAAGAATATCTTGAGGTAAGTATTTTCTTATTCCATGAGAAGCATATTTACATTGTTATTTTCCTTGGATATGTCCTGCTTGTTCAGCATGATCTTTCTTTGGGGTGCTAAGTCCAAAACATCATTTTTTGTGCTTCTATTATCCGTTTGTTGTTGTTCTCCATCTTGGCGTCTGAAAACTAAACTCTCAAAATAGCTCCATTTCTGTCCTTCTTGACTTGTTCATTGGAGACCTCTTTGATTTCCTGAGAACCCAAAGTTTAATGAGCCTTGGGTATGGCTTGTGCTATTTGGACCAATGTACAGGGCTTGTCTATTAAATCCTAGCTTTGCATCCTTCTTTCATTAATTGTCTTCTCTTTCAGGTTCTGGAGAAGCAATGAACCTAGTAATGTTGATGAAAACTGTGTTGTCATGCATATAGGTAAAGGAAAAGGCAACAAGATGAAGAATAACTGGAATGATGTCCAGTGTTTAGTGGATGAGCATCATTATGTTTGTGAAACAAATACAGTATCTTTTCCCATTTAAAGGATGATCTAGAGCCAAAAGAACACTTCAAACTATTAATCATGGGCCCCCTGACTGGACAGACTGAATTCATTCTGAGCATGGGCTCCACATGAGAAAGGTGTGCATTCTCATTCCATAACTGTGCTCCAAAAGAAATGTAATGTATAGAAATTTTCAAATGATAGGGAGAATCCAAAGTTCAGTAGACAGTGATTAATATGTAGCCGTAGCATGTAGCTCCAGCCCTAACCACGTCTTCTCAGAAGTAAATTCCATTGAATTCAATGAGATTTACCCCTAGGTAAGTGGGATTAGGATTACAGAGCAGGAGTCATTCCTGCAGCAGAATTAATTCTCAAAGTGTTCTCTCTGGCACCATGCCAGGTATCAAGGTGTATGTGTTGAGATATTTCAGCAGGAGCAGCAAGATTTTCAGCAAGGTTTAAAAGTCTACTTTTGTATATAGTGTTACACACCACCCCAATCTCCGAGTGGTGTGAGTTTCTGGGCACTTACCTAGGGTTCGTGTTTCCTTTGGAAATGAAGCACAGCAGAGACTGTGGTGTCTTTAGGATCTATGGTTTATTTACACATATATACAACCTGAGCCTGCAGTGGAGGGGCTCCCAGCTTTACACTCCAAGAGGGTCTTGCTTCTCCCATAGATGCAGCCCTGGTTTCAAACAGACACAGCCATCCTGCCTGTTGCCCTGAAACTTACATTGCTCTCCCACCCACACAACTCCTGACTCCCAGGCAGCCGCCTAGCTTGCTTCTCCGTTGCATCACTGCTAACCGACTGGAAAACCTTTCCTCCTTCAATCCTGAAACACTACCACTTCTGCCTTTTTCTTCGCTAACTAACACAGAGCTCAGGGAGAAGGGCCCCTCTGCCATCTTTGCTTCTGGCTTATCAGCCTGCCTTTGTTCCCTGCTGATGGCCCCCCTTCTCCCAGGCAATTTCTTGTGCAAGGAAAAACTGATTTGGCCTGTATTTTGGCACTGCTAAGCTCAATACCTGGCAGCCCATCTTAATGCTCCAAGCATTGATTAAACTCCAACACCCACTAGACCCAGGAATTCGGGGGAGTCAAGGTGCCCACAAACTCATAACAATATTGAAAGATATAAATATATTGATCCTATGATGGAGGGACTCACAGCATTAGCACCCCAAGAGGGTCTTGCTTCTCCCAGAGCCGCAGCCTTGGATTCCAGCAGAAATCAGGCCTGGCTCTGCCCTGCCTGCAGCCTGCCATCTTCTGTGTTCTAGCTCACCTAACTCCACTCTCAACTCTGAGCTTCGTCTTCTAACTACTGGTGAATGAATGAATGAAACTTTATTTGCGTTAGCCATTGGCCATAGCAGTAAAAAAGCATTACGATGTACACAAAACACAATAAAAGTCAATTATAATAAAACACAGTTTAGGGTCCTGAATCATCAGTCAAACAGTGGATCATATTCTGATTGCCCCAGCTAAAAACCTTGCAACCTTTGCTATCGTCTGCTCCTCTTGATCTGCCAGGAGAAAAGACACTGTGGCAGGGGCTGGACAACCCAGAATGGACAATAAGAGAGGGGTGAGTTGAGGGAGTTGGCCGTCCATCTGCTATCTAACACAAAGGCCATGACCTCAGCAGGAAGCTGGCTTGGCCATGCCAGAAACTGAATCTTTGCTGGAGTGCGTGATGCTTTACAACTGACTGGCCTTCAGGATATTTGGAAGTAGTGTTGTAAAAGAGTGGCCAATCATTTGTCCTCAGGATGGAGAATTTGCAAATATAAGTTTTAGTGCACAGTTGTAATCAACAACTGTAGTAGTAAATCAACATCAACAAGATGAACAAAGCCTTTTAAAGGAAGATTAGCTGCCAGAATTTGCTGTTCCTTACTTGGTAAGGATGCGAAAGATCCTGCCTCAGAGGTTTTTGGGTCACTTTTGCATCCACCTTAGAGACCTGGGAGACTGTGTGTGTGTGTGTGTGTGTGTGTGTGTGTGTGTGTGTGTGTGTTGCCATTTGATACGTTTTTGTAATCTTCAAACTGTCCAGGCAGGGAGGAGAGGGGTGTTGCAAAGCAAGACTTTGCAGCCAGGAAGACAGAAGCAGCCATATAGTTATAAACTGGATAATTTGCTTTAATAGCACCAGCCCAGACTATTTGCAGCAGAAGCAAGGAGGAAAGGGGAAAGAGAAACAACACTCACAACTTGGGAAGGCCACTTGCAGTTCCTTTTTAGTAAGGTTTTAGCGAGTATTAAAGGCTGCCGCTTATTCCAAGAAGGGGAGCAAAGGAAGTGATGCAGTTCTATAACTGACAGCTCCAACTTGCAGTGGAGAAATGACTTTACAGTGACTAACCGGGCTCTTTCTCTTTGTGAGAGAAAGCCCAGTTGAGAAAGTGGCGGGCTGGGTGCCTCTTCTTGAAAGTTCATAGTGATCATATGCCTTGCCATGAAGTCTGTCAGATGCTGGAACTTTTAGTACACACGATGGTCAAGTGCTACAGATTTTACACTTGTTGCAACTGGAATCCATATTTTCACTGTCATTAAGCAATAGCTTTAATACAGCAAAGTTCGAAGCAAAAGAATCTGCAAAGTGGTGCTCTGACCGAAGAAATTCTGCAGCAGAGAAGTTGGAGACAGAGCAGTTATTGGAGGAGACAAAGCTAAGAAGGTGCAGAAGGCGGGTCCAGAGGTGGAAGTAAAAGGAAGAGAGGAAGCAGGCAGCATATTGGTCAGAGAAATTGTCAATATATTTAATATTATTGGTTAGAGTACTCATTCTCAAACTTTTTCCTCTGGGCCACACTTTCAGAATTTCTTTTTGCTCTCAGCACACCAGATTCTTTATTGCTAAGAAACACGTGGGGAAACACAACTAGGATTGTCCTCAGCATCACTTGATGCCCTTGTTTTCCTTTTGAAAATATTTCTACGTGAATTATGCAAATAAATATTTTTATATTATACTACATTGATTTTCCTTGAATCTTCCTGCCACACCCTTTGAAAACCACTGGGATCGAGCAATCTAACCACAGGTACCGGTAAATGCTTCTGAAGCCTGTTGATTTTAAAGACACAGTTAAACCTCTCCCACTGAAATAAATGAACCTGAAATAAAAATACTGAAATCAGCTGATTGGATTGTCCTTTCATTCTGCTAAGCCATAAAAGACTATTGCCACCCACAATACAGTTTGAGAGTATTGTGCTATTTATGTTAATATTTTGTCTTGGATAATAAAGCCAAGGCAGGAGGTGGAATTGTAAGGTGTTTGCTCCAGAAAGCAAGAGCTGCTTTAAGATTCATGCATGAAAATATGGACCAGATTGTTCCCTGATATGTTAGCTAGCTGCCAGATTATGAGTTTATGTAGACACAATGCAGAAAACAGTATAAAGAACACCCATAAAAGGAGATGGAGACAGCCAGGTGACTTCATAATCATTTCCACTTTTATTATGTATCATAGCTATACTATAGGACCTGTAACAGGAAAGAGGCACTAATCATAAAAAAGCATTAGGCAAATCATCAAACCCAAATCAGCAGCAAGCAATTTTAAGCGGAATTCATCTTGAAGTTGATTCAATTTAACTGTGTCATTCAGATTCTTTCATTCAGATCCAAGCACGTCTGATTCCTCATGGAGACACATACTGCTTCATTGGATTCTCTGCCCATGGGGGGAAGGTTCTGGCCAGCTTCTGAGAAAGCTCTTTCTTAATAGGCCACTTCCAGGCTTGAAAGAAGGGGGCTAGATCTCTCTTCACTTGCTGGGAGAACTTTTCTGCCCACAGATTCATCTTGGACTCGTTGTCTTCTGGGATTTGGGTCATTTTTGGTACTCGGCAAAAATGCGCATGTAGGGCTCCCATCCAAATGCCTCCTGCAACTGAAAATCAGGAAAAAGAATTGTATTCAGTCCCTTTCTTAAGTACTTCATAATGGCTTCTGTGTACAAAGTAAGGAAGAGGTACCCATAAGTTATGCTCAGAATGCCCTTTTTGTCTAATATTTTGTTGCATGCTACCCCAAGTGGTGCAAGATTCCAGGGTTCCAGGCACTTACCCAAGGTTCATGTTTCCTCAGAATGAGGGACAACGGAGACTGTGCTGTTTTTATGATATAGGGTTCATTTACACATATATACAACCTTAGCCTACAATGGTGGCAGTCATAGCATTAACAGCCCAAGAGGTTCTTGCTTCTCCCATAGCCACAGCCTTCGATTCCCACAGAAACCAGGCATGGAATGTTAATATACTTTTATTGCATTTTACCTGCAAATATGGTTCCAGTGCAGTAAACAGCTCAAAGTCCTTTAGCTGGCCATTTTTAATGTAATTTTCAATCCTTTTCTTTCTGAGCTCCGGCAGAAGTTCCTCATGGGCCCTTTCTCTTGGGGTGTTCAGGACAGTCTCATTTACATAGACAGACCATAGATTGCAGGTGGCTTCAGTGGTGTGAGGTGGAAAATCCCATCCGGCCTGCTGCTGGTTGTGCCCTAGCTCATGAATGGGGCCCCATAGGCCATTGGCATGTATGGACTGCACATCTATCATCTCCTGCACTGACACCAAGTGAAGCATGATTGGGTAGCCAGCATGCATCCAACCTAAGGAGCGGTGAGTGAGGAGAAAGACACACAAAATAGACCCTTAGGAGCTGAATGCCCAGGAACCAGCTGTAGATAAAACATAGTCTAAGCATGCAGTTGAGGGCCATCCTTTGGAAACCATGGCAACACAAATGGCTTTCTGGGTAGGTGATGTTGTCTGTTGGGAAACATGAGGAAACTACTCAGATCGATGTGCTTAAATGTTGTTGGGGCAAAGCAGGCATTGGCTAAGGCACCAAGCCAGCCATGTTTAGGATTTGTGCATAAGCCTGTGTGCATTGCCTTTTGAGAGTAGGACAGAAGACTGAATCCTCTTCTATCTTCCATCATGGTTCCTAGCCTCCTGCCTACCAAAGCACTTGACCCAATCCAAACTTGCTTAGTTTTAGTAAGGTAGTTGTATCATATGGCCTCAGGCTATGCCCCATTATAACGGAACATGTTGACAACTAAAGAAAATCAGAAGAGACCTAGTCCAGCAGCTTGTTCTCACAGTGGTCAACTAGATGCTTGTGGGAAACCAGCTTTTGTGAAAAGAGGTGTTCATATAGCAAACAGGCTTCCTTAGGGCAAAGGTCCATGTGGTCTGAGGGAGAATGACATGAAAGACCTTTGGGCTAGGAGGACCTAAGGCAGTGGTGTGGAGTTGCCTGGCCTGTGGGACAATCTTGGCCAGCCAGTTTGGCCCACAAGACCATTAAAAAAAACAACTCATCTGTCAATCAGCTGATGTCACTGAGATGGAGAGTATGAGGTCAGTTGATGGTTTCAGTTATTCAAGGTTTTCCTCCCTCTTGCTGAAATAGAGGAGTATGCCCCTGGTTTTGGCAGCAGTTTCAATGCAAATCCTTTGTCATTGGGAAGGTGACTGGACTGATACTCCTGCTTGGGAGTATCTCCCTCCGCTCCATTTCCCCCTCCAACTTTGGGACTTCAAAGCATCAAAATAGTGGACATCTTTGTGACAGCTGGTGTTTTGACAGGTGGCTCCACTCACCCACCAAAACTGGCCAATCTTACTAAGGATCTGACTTGTAGATCCAAATAAGTCCCGTACCCTTGACCTAAGGGAAGCTATAACTGTACTCTCACAGGGCGATACATGTAGATTGCTCACTGCCAAGCCCTAGGATGTGAAACAGGTGGCACAGATCCAAGGGAGTCTGGTAGAATGCCAAATGCCTCTTATGCATGCCTGGCTCTTCAGACTACAACTCCCAGAAATCTTCAGGGTGTAAGTCAGGAGAGTGAAATGGCTAAATAACTAGCTAGCTTAAGTTTCCAGCACATCAGTGCCCTCTGGACTGCTTTTCTAGGATGAGTTGCACTTGTCTAAAAACTGCTGCATTGTGCAAAATGCCACTTTCAGCCACATATGTATGAATTTTTAAATATTGTACTTGCCAACTGATATTTGAACATCTGCCACAATTCTCTCTGGTCTGGGAAAAACAGCAGGGACGGATGCTAACTTGGCCACTGCCTTCATCATGTTGTCCCAGATGGTGAGAAGAACCCCAGGATTGTCCATAGTCCGCACATTGTCTGCTGGCACTGTCAAAATAACGTTTGTGGTTTCTAGCTCAGCCCAGGGAGCAGGAAAGTGGCGGATAGTGTTCTGCCAGGCAGATGTGCTGGTTTCACCTAGTGAAATATTTTAAAGGGAGATGTTTATTTTGAAAAAACACATTGCGTACTTTTCCATTATGCAGATAACACCAAGTAATTAGGCAAGTTCATTTAAAAGAAAAAAATAACCAGTCTCTAAAAAAGAAATTACAGATAACACTCATTAACAGTATTTGCATCCATTCATGGAAAGAAGGGGATTCACAAGTCCTGGAGTGCCTCAGCTGATTCCACCATCCTTTCAAAGTACAGGCCAGGTGGCACTTCAGGCTGAAGGCAGCAAAGGATGTCAGGTTCATTGCAATGATAGGAGGAGCTGCAAAGTGTTCATAAGTGGCTGCAAAAAGACAAGCAGTTCTTAGCAACACCAACAGAATTTAGACATGGCAGCTGGTCCTTTGGAGATCCGTTATGGTTACAGGAGTTGCACAAAGTTTGCTCAGATATTACAACAAAGGTGAAAACAATCACACATGATCAGGTGTGGCACATGAGAACGTGGCTTGGTGGTGGAACAGAAGAACCAACCCACACTCCAGGCCTGCCCCACACACTGTTTGTTAAGGATTAATGTGTGGGGCGGGGTGGGGGACAGGCTGAAATGGTGCAATAGTGAGGCTATGGCACTCTGAACATATTCAAAAGTACTTTTTAAAAATTGTATCATATTACTTTATCTCTCTCCCTCTAAGAAGAATGGCCAAAGAGGTAGGAAAGTCTAGAGGGGGCAGTAGCTGCAAGATTTGTTTTTCTATGAGCAGCACCAGGCCAGAAACTGGCAGCATCGGACTGTGTGCACCTGCTGTGCTCTGCGGAGCTCCCAGAATGCAGTGGGGCTCCTACCAGCTTGCCAATTCCCTTACGTTTGAATTCAGATCCATTTCCTATAGTTCAAAGAACATTTCCAGGGCATCTCTATGCAAGTCTACTCAGAAATAAGTGCCACTGAGACTTCTGCACAACCCGTAGGTGTGTACTTTCCTTCTTACCATGTTTGTAATAAGGTGCCTGGACCGCTCCTTTGATGGTAACAGAGATCAGGCCCACCGATGACTTCTCTGGCACAACGATGTATAAGAGGCCACCCCACAGGCTGGAGACTTCCACGCTCTGAGCCTTAACTTCAAACCTCCTTGTTACTACAGGAGCACGTTTCAGCTCCTCAGCATCACTTAAGTCATCCGAATGACAACCAATCTGCACCTAGAGAAAGGAAGTTTGATGCTTCAAATCAGACTTTGCTATGAAAGACAATGGGCCATTAAACACTCTTTGGTCTGCTGTGTCCCTTTGACATGACTCCCATCTTGAAACTGATTTGTTGCTACTAAGTTAGAAAGAGCCAAAGATAGAAAGAACCCATTTCCGTGCAGTACATTGATTGTCTACTCAGCAGCGAGTTTAATTGGGATTTATTCCCAGGTAAGCCTTATTTCCAGGTCTTACAGATCAGGGTCAGTCCTCTCAATCAGGAGTGCCAATATTTTTTTTGGGGGGGGGGAATCAGGGAAGGCCCCGCCCCACATAATCGATCACATGATTTGGAGCATGCACACCATTTGTATGGCAATGCCTATCAACTTGGGGGAAGCCTGGCACCCTTAAATATTTTATGGGGGGGGCGAAGACCTCTCAGCCCCTAGGAGTTGGCTCCTATGCTCTCAATGATTGTGTTCAACAAACAGAAAGTGGAAGAATGCAAGGTATAGCATGCTAGAGGTACCTATTGTATCTTGTGACACAATAATTTCACAAGAAATGCCAGCCCCCAAAGTAGATCTGAGCCATATACTAAAAACAGTACAGAGTCTGTTGTTTGCAATTCAGCTGAAGTTATTGCAAGTTGGTTAGCACCTGTAATTTAGCACCGATGGCATTGTAGGGAAATAGCAAGCTGGCTGTTTTCATTGGGGGGACATAGAGGCCCGTGCTTCTCCATGCTTCATTTCCTGCAAAGAGGTCAAAGCAGTTGAAACACAGAGTATAAATCAGTCAAAAGTTGTTCAGTACAAATAAAAAGTTTAGTTAGTTTTCCTTTTCAAAAATACTTTCCCACTGAGTCCAAGACTTCAAACTTTGTATAGGTTAACTAGAGATTTTACTATATAATCCTTGGAATGTCTTGTAAGCAACAGGAGGATGCCAATTTCTTTGGCTCTGATTCCACCATTTCTCCAAAACGGCGTCTGTGCTGCTCCTGCACGGCCCCAACGTTGTTCAGAAGTAATTCTCTCTGGGTTTGGTGGGGCTTATCCCCAGAACAAAGCTTCAGGAAGCTGGACTTTATTAGAATTCAGTTAGTTACCATCTTTCCCAGAGAACATATCTGCATATTTACATATTCTAAATAGCCCATGGTTTGTTGTAAAGAGAGGTCCTGAGTATACAAACAAAACATCCCTGTTAGACGGCAGCATGAAGCTCCAGTTACGTCATTCCCGGAAGTCCCACAATCAGGAGCCAAATGAGAAATGGTTTTCAGAACACCGTTCACCTTGCACCCCCTATTTGAATCCAAAAGTTTGTTGTGTTAACCTTTCAGCTCAGCAGTAATTATTCACACATATTGTAGGTGAGGAATGAACTGAGTTTTGCCTTGCTCAGGGTCACTATGACTTTATGGCTGAGACAATATTTCAACAAGGCCCTTCCCAGCTTATGGCAAATTCTCAGGAAGTCAGATACTGTATTCAGATAGCTAAAGCCAGCAGATCAAACAACGAGCTGAGTGAAAAATCGAAAATACTTCTTACCATTATTCTTTCCATTTATTCTGATAGTTTGAGGAGGGGAAATAGGGTAAGTTGCTCCAAGCTGTTGATTCAGGCTGGGCGCCAGCTTCTGGAATTCTGGGGAAACGTTGTAGAGCTCTGAAGACAGCTTGATAAAAAATGCCTCCTCTGAACTGGATTTGATGGGGTTGCTTGCACTGATCTCAGGAATTCCCCTGGACTTCATCAGCTCCATCAGATCTTCATGCACAGAGAATATAGTAGGGGATTCAGCAGCTGGGATCTTTATCAGTGTAACCAAATCTTGTCCTAGCTTCTTAAGCCATGAGGAATATGGTGACTTCAGAGCCTGGCGGTTCTCAATGTGTTGCTGGAATTGGAAGAAGGCTTTCCGGAAGTGATAGGCCAAAGCAACTTCTCTGGCTGGTCTAGCTGGGAAGATTTCATCAGATGAGCTGATGTCATTTCCAAGGATCCCAATTCCAAATTTCTCCAGTATTTTGTTTCCTGGAAACTCAGTAATAATACTGGAACCAGTATTTTCATCAGCACTTGACCAGGCTTGTCCGCCAATCAGGAGTCCACCTCCTTCAGAGACAAACTCTTGGATTTTTTCCACCTCTGTGTCATAGTAGGCTGTGCAGCAGTACACACTGAGGCCATCTTTAAGGTCTGTTAGCTCACATGTGATCTTCGCTTGATCTAGCATGGAGTAAAGGTCCTGGAGATAATCTCCAACACCCACCTTTCCTCCCTTCCCAGAACTAAGCCACCGGATTGCATTGAGGACGAAAGGTTTCATGGATGGTGTGCTAAACAGGTTTTCATGAGCACTTACGATAACCCGTCCCCTCCCATAACGAGCAGCTGCAAGAAACGACTGGTTGGCATCATCTATGGCAACTGGAAATGCCAAGGTTCCATGGATTAGCAGCTCAGATGGAACACCATCCTGAATCTTGAATTCTTTCACTCCACTAAGTAGAGCTGTTAAATCACTTTGGATATCTAATCCATGCCTGGAAGAAAAGCAATATCAATTCTTATCATGAGATAACACTATATGGCAAAACAGCATCTTATTGTCCTTTCTGAAGGATCTCAAGAGATTCTTACAATTTCTCGTACAGTATATACTTTCAAATACAACAAATTGCAGTTTTGTCACTAGGATTTATATATGTAATTTACTGCTGGAATTCATTGCTTTACATTTTCCCTAGCAAATTCCTTAGACTTCTACAGCGGCAGTTCCAGAAGAGCCAGACCTTTTCCACTGAGAGATGCGTCCGCCCCACTGGCACGATTGGCTCTTTTTGCTGTGTGGCCAGCAAGATGCAAGAGGAAACCTGGATTCAGTGATTATCAAAATCATTCTTTTGGGCTCATCCTGACCACCAGCACCTTACATGGGCTGGCAGGTGAGCTGGCCTGGCTAATTTGTATGTAACTTGTCTTTTATTCGCATGTCTCCCAAGGTAGGTTTTGGGAGGGGGGAAAACCTCTGGGAACCTCAAAGGTGGGGTTTGTGAGAGAGAGTTTTGCATCCCTGGCAATCTTTTCTCACACAGCACTGCCAGATCCCTTGGCTTCTCCGTTACATCCCAGAAGAGAACATTAAGGCTCTGCAACAGCAACAACTGGGATGGGAGGAAGCCCACCTTTTGTGGAGGACCCTGCGCAGCATCTGACTGCTTCATATGCAGGGGAACCCCATAATTCAACTACATCCAATAAAGAGAAATTAAAACCCTGCAGGGGGGAAACAGAAGGAAGGAAAGGCAACCTGGATTTTGTCCCTGGAACATTTTGTACCCACCCCTTTAAGCTAAAGGCTTAAATCTATAATTTGTGGGCACTCCTACTCCCCCCAGGTCATTTTAAGCCCTGAAATTGGTTCACATTAGCCAATATTTTTTGACAACCCCTCCCCTGGGAGAACTCACTTGCACGGCAGATAAAGAGGCACCTTGGTATCTACAAGTATAGAATAATATAATCCCAACTCCCTGCAATATGTGAATCACAACTATTATGAGCAATTTAATCCTCAGTGCCTAGCAAACAAGTCACAGTAAGTGAGACTTTGATGGACACCTAACACCACCTCTTAGGGCCAGCAGGAGAAAGCTCTGCTGGATGAAATGGGAGGCTGCCCTGTGTGCCAGGGAAGTCTTGCTTTTTTCATTGCCTCCACCACTACCACAAAGCAGACTTCAATTCTTACCTGTGTTTGGTGACAAGTTTTGCATATGTATGTATGTATGTATGTATGTATACATCTGTGTGTGCGCACAGACACACGGATGAAATGTTGGGAATTGGCTTGCAGGGTTTTTTAAAATGAAAAATGCAGATAAGAGGTTTACTCACTGGGTGATAAGTGGAATCCTCGGCATTTGTGCGGACACAGGGAAGATCCCATTGCCTCCCACGTTGCCAGTGAAGTACACACCAGCCACACTCGCCACCCGGTTGCCAGGAAACCCAAGCAGCACGTTCTTCATGCCATGTTGACTTGCCCAGTGCCAGGCCTGCCCTGCGATGAGCAGGCCCCCACCACTCTTCACAAACTGCACAAGGTCATCTGCGTGCACCTCCTCATAGGCATCTGTGCAGTAGACTCCCAGGGAAGACCCCAGCGCTGCCCCTGCCTGCACTTTCACACCATCGCGGAGGAGCATTTGAGAGAGGGAATCCAAGCTTGCATGGACACCCACCTGCGATGCCCCGGAGGGCTTGAGCCACTGCAAAACATTTCTAATGAATGGCAAGAACTGGGGAGTTTTCAGGGCATCTTCATGGGAGACAACTACCATGCGCCCCTTCCCGTACTGGGATGCAGCAATTAGCACTTCCCCATTTGCATTCACAAGGATAGGGAAAGCTTTATCTCCTGTAAGCAGAAGCTCACAAGGCTGGAACCCCCCACTAAAGTCAAAAGAAGGAACGCCCTTAACTAGAGCTGCATAAGAATTTTTGAAATCCATGTCAGATGTTTGGAATGGATCGTTGAACGCTGGAGCTAAAAGAAAGATAGAGAGAGAATGCAACACATCTAATTAGCACCTGCAACTCCCCGTTACATCCATACTTCCCCATAAAAAAATTAATGAGTACAAAATCTTACCAAACTTGAGTTCCTCTCTAGAACTGCCGGTGCACAGTGACAAAGTCTGGGTGCCTTTATACCCAACAGCTAGCTTTTTTTGGGGGTGGTGGTGGTGGGAACACAATGGGTGTGGGAGTCGCTTTAGGCCAATCAGAAGCCCATGCTAAATACCTGTCAGTAAGTTAGTAACAGCACTATAATCCCCTTTAAGCTTTTCCTTGTTTCTGTACCTAGAAATGGTTAAATATAAAAAAGCAGTGGTTTATTGTATTAACATGTCCAGAATTGAGGAAGGAAAATTAAACCCCTTTTGAAATTAAATCCCACCTGTCTTACCTACTAAAGCTGCAACCCTAACAACACCTACTAGGGAGTCAGACCTGTTGACTATAATGGGACTTACTTCTGTGTAAACACACCTAGGATTCCTCAGTCAGTACATCTGTGTGAAACTCAGCTGACCATTCATGTCTGGCCAATTCCTTCTGTCAAAAAATTTGCAGAAGAAAGTATCTGTGCTGGTCTAGGGGCCTGTGTGTCTTACTTTCGAGAAGACTGTCTTTTATTTGTAGGAGCCCTCTGTTTGAAAGGCGCTCTGGGGATGGCTCAGTTTAAAGTAAAACTCTGGCCCAGAGGTCTCACCCTGATGAAGCAGATGTGAGTACAGAAGATCCCTGCCTCCCCAGTTCCCACTAGGACTCTCCAGGGTCTTTCCGACAAAGTCTCAAGCTGCATCTGTGCACAACTTGCTCTGCCTGTTTGCTTTCTCCGCATGTTCTAGGACAGGGGTCAGCAAGGTTTACCTCGCCTGGGCCAGTTCACTCTAGCGGAGATCCCTCCATGGGCTGGATCAGCGCAAGAGAGAGATCGCACGGCTGCAATTTCTGGTGTCTGCATCTGCACAGACATGATTTCCAGTGTCTGCGTCTGCGCAGACGCGATTTTCAGCATCTGAGCATGCACAGACACAATTTCCGGCACCGCGGAAGTGAGTGCCCACGTGCAAGGACTCATTGAGCGTGCGTTGGTTTAGCGCAGCGCGCAAGAACTCACTGAGTGGGCGGCTAGGTTTGGGGGCAGCTCGTAGGCCGGTTAAACAACTCCCGTGGGCTGCTGTGGGTTGCCTACCCCTGTTCTAGGAGACCAGGGGCAAGGGCAGTTGGTCGCAGCAAGAGGGGAAGACTCCCTGGCTTCAGCAGCCTGCCTCTCTGTCTCCCAGGCCTACTCGTCTCCAGCCCCGCTTCTGCCTCAGAGTCTGAACTGTGCTCTGCCACAGCCTCTTCCTGTTCACTAAAGCCTGTCACCTCTTCTGCTTCTGACATCTCCTGCTCGCAGTCTGCTCCTTCTACCTCTGGCCTCTCATCACTATCCTACCACCAGTTCCCGGGCACTGAGCTTTCTTCCCCTGGGGTTTTCCTCCCACCGCTCAGCTACATCTAGCCAGTCCATGCCACCTTGGGACCTAAATTCATAACAGTCCTGTTCTTAAGAAAAATTCACCCAAATGAAGCAAGAAACTTGGGGAAAAAATAATAAGGTTAAGCAGAAGTGGTAGTATTGATTTTCTTATGACTTGATTAATGTTTTTTGGTTATAATGGTAATATGAATTTATGAAACTTGTTTTCAGCAAGACTTTTTCAGTAAGGTCTCGTGCGGTATTTTTGTTGGCAAAGTGGTAAAATGTGGGCCAGAGAATGATACTGTTAGGTGGATTTGTAGCCGACTGATGGGCTGTGCCCAGACAGGGGCCATCAATGGTTCCTTGTCAACCTGGATAGAAGTGACAAGCAAGGGTGCTGCAAGGTTCTCTCTTGAGTCCAGTGTGGTTTAACTCCTTTATAAATCACTTGGGTGGAGAGGATACTCATCAGATTTGGAGATGACACCAAACTGGGTGGTGTAACTAACAGCTTAGAAAACAAAAAGAGAATTCAAGATAGCCTTGCCTGGATAGAGAGCAGGGCCAAAACTAACAAACTGAAACAGAACAGAGATCCAAAGTAAAAAACAACCCAGAAGTACAAATACAGGATTGATGACACCTGGCTTGACAGCAGTACGTGTCTGTTTGCCCCATCAAATAGGAAAAGTGGCAGGTGAGGGGTTGCAGTCAGTGGCGGAGCTAGCTGCTCCGGCACCTGGAGTGGCATACATGCAGTACAGATATTATGTGGAACCTGTAGTAGTGCTTGAAACTACGGAAGGAGAGGTTTTATTTATTGTGACTTCACTACGCTCTGTATTATCTGAAAAAGAAAACATTTATTTAAAAAGCAGGACTGCACAGCAGCAACCTACTCGCCTGCGAGTCTCATCATGATCAGTGGGACTTATTCCCGAGCAGATGTGCATAAGATGGGCCGCAATTCTTTTCTGCAGTGGTTTCCCATTTGTGGGATGCTCTCCCAAGGGAGACTCCCCTGGCTCCTTCCTTACATCTTTCGGTGCCAGGCAAAAATGTTTCTCTATAACCAGCCCTTTGGCTGGTTAACATTCTACGGCCTTTTAAATGTGTTTGTGGGAGGAGAGATCATTGGTTTGTCTTTGTCTTTGTTTTATTCTGCATTTTGTGTTCTCATTTTGCATTTTTATGTTGTGAATTGCCCTGTAAACTTTGGATGAAGGGCAGGATACAAATTTATTATTATTAATAATAGCAGCAGCAGCAGCAGCAGCAGTGAACAGCACAGGTAACTAGAGTCAATCAGGGGTGCCAACTTGAATAAAATATTGGGGAGGCAGGCGTGGGCACAGTCAGGATTTATGTTAGGAGGGCAGAATCTCAATTAAGGATTTTTATTTATTTACTTAATGGGGGGCAGCTACGCCCATGGACCCAAGGAAGCCCCACCCTGCAAAACTGATCACAAGATGCACTGTGCACACACCATTATTATCTGAATGGCAATGCCCATTAACTGGGGGGGGGGCCTCAAATATTTTCTGGGGGGAACCAAAGGGACCTGGGCCCTAGGAGTTGGCTCTCATGCAGTCAGTCATGGCTGGCTGGCAGACCTGTTGGCTGTATTCCTTAATTTATAGGCATGCCTACCAAGACCAAAAAAATGTGTCCTGCTAAGGTGTCCTGGGGTTACGCGAATCCCGTTAAGATATTGGAGGCAAAGCTCTGTGAGGAAGAGAAGCAGAATTTGTTGCTCTCTCTCTGTCCCTCCCTCCCCCCCCTTTTTGGCCAGGTCATTCATCCTTCTGACAGGCAGAAATCCAGCAGGTGGGGAGGATTTCCTTTCAATATTGCTGCTGGAATGTATGCAGTGACTGAGAGCTTCCATTGGATCATTGTAATGGATTTCTTTGAAGTGATTTCTGCACCAGGTCAAGGAATTTTTAGCCCCCCAATTACACCCCCCTGCATTTTGCCCAGCGAAAGGTGGCAGCCCTACCTAAAGCACAGGAACGAAGCAGCAAAACGGACTTTCTTCCCTCCAGGCTGGGGGGGAGCGAGTCCACCGCCGCGCACCCAACCTCCCTTCCCCGGCTTCTTTGGGTGTCCTTGCTCCCTCCGTGTTCCAGCCTCGGGCAACAGCTCTGCGTGAGGCTTCGCTTCTCGCCTTTTCCAGCCTCCTCCTCCTCAGGCGATGTCTGCAGTTTCTCCTCTCCGCTGCTGCCTCGCCGAAATAGAGAAGCCAGCAGTTTCCTCATCCGGCTTGTTTCAGAGCAGTCAGATCAAACGGTCAGTCCTGGGGGGTGTCCTGGCTCAGTGGCGTAGCGTGGGTTGTCAGCACCCGGGGCAAGGCAAGTAATTTGCGCCCCCTAACCCGTGGATTTTAGCACTCGAGTCTCTTCCGCTAGATTAGTGCGCGCCCCCCTGATGTTGCGCCCGGTGCGGCCGGCCCCCCCTGCACCCCCCAAGCTACGCCACTGTCCTGGCTTGTAGCTTCAGAAACGCGGCTTAAAAGACAAATACATAAAAACCTTCTCATTAAGCCTAGAGGCCAGCAAGAACAATTTTAATGCCACAATGAAACAATTCCCTTGGCTGGGTTAAATGGGCGTTAATCTTTTCTTGGGGGGGGGGGGCTGAGGTGCATGGCAAGGAGAGGGAGATTGCCACACCCCCCCATAGTGGGAAAAGTTTCGGGATGCCCCTCCCCAGGGCCGGATTTAGATGAAGAGAGGCTCAAAGCTACTCCACTTGTGAGCCCCACTCCCACAACTAGAAGAAAATGGAAGAGTGTTATAAACAAAATTGAGTGAAGCCAAGGATGATGATGATGATGATGATGGGTATTTACAATTCTGCAATTCACAATTTCTCCTGTAAAGGACATCAAAAAAACTTCATCAAAATTTGTTTGTCTAAATTTGTCACTTTCAATGTACAGAATGCTCACTGCGGACAACCTCTCTTGAGACATCGTGGCCCTTAATGCATTTTTAATTCTTTTGAGCCTTGAAAAGCTTCTCTATCCCAAGCAGTTAGTGACCATAAAGCTAAGAAATAGCCGCAAAATTGCTTCCACAGTAGGAAAGGCCATCTGATTTTTTTCCCTTGTATATAATTTAATAAAGGTCTGTATGAGACAGAGAGTGCTCTGCTGTAAGCCTATGGCTTTGTCTCATGTACAGGTGAAAGTGCAAAAATTCATCAGGAAGTTTCAGATCAATATCTTCTGGGTATGCTTCCATCAACAGTTCAACACCTTGCTGAATTTCTTGCTTAGGTGCTGTCAAATTAGCAAGAATGGCAAACAATTGTGCAACATCACTGTACACAGTACTTCTTTTTAAATTGGCTTCAAGTGCATCTGATATAGGGATATAGGAATAAAGGATTTTATTGTAAACTTCTCTCTTGAAGAAAGTGCATCTAAAGCATCATGCGCACTTCTGTCATTTCTTTGCTGTTCCCTCACCCTTTGTCTCCTTGTTTTGTAGTTAACATTTGGCAAGGTGGCTTTTGCTTGTTTCTCAAGCTCATCAACATCTTCTCTAATTTTCCTTAAAAAAATCCTGAAGTGAACTCTACAAACTTGCACAAGAACTCAATACAGTGGTACCTCGGGTTACATACGCTTCAGGTTACATTTGCTTCAGGTTACAGACTTCGCTAACCCAGAAAGAGTGCTTCAGGTTAAAAACTTTCCTTCAGGATGAGAACAGAAATCGTGCTCTGGCAGCGCGGCGGCAGCGGGAGACCCCATTAGCTAAAGTGGTGCTTCAGGTTAAGAACAGTTTCAGGTTAAGAACAGACCTCCGGGACAATTTAAGTACGTAACCCGAGGTACCACTGTAACAAGTCTGCTTTGCTGACCTTGTGAAAATGACCTAGCACACGGATTTATATCTCTAAGATTCTGAAGACTTTGGCTGTGAACTAGGGCCCCACAAAAAAAAAAAAAGTCAAATTGGGCCCCACTGGCTGGCCCTGAGTCTCATAGTTGCTGGGCCCAAGTTGCCCTGGCCTTGCATGAAGTCTTGGGTTTGCAATTTGGGGAGGGGGAGACTGCCCGCTGGGGGGTGGGGTGGGCTGGTGAGGCCCCCTAGATTTAGAGGCCCTAGGCTTCAGCCTACTTAGCCTATATATCAATCTGGCCCTGCCCCTCCCCTCCTTCCTTCCCTGCCCCACTCCAGCCTAAGCCCTGCAATCTCAGTGCATCTTTCGCTCAGCAGTAGTGGCAGCAGCAGCCCCAAAGCTGGGCTGGGTCTTGTGCAAAGGAGCCCCCCAAGTTAAGAGGGCTGTTGCTCGCCAGGCAGGCGGCTGCTGTGGCTAATTTTAGCCAGGCCAGCAGGAGCAGCAGCCCTTGCACTCTCCCAAGCTGTGAATGAAGGAGCAAAGGGGGGGGGGGAGAGGAGAGGCAGCCAGCCAGGAGCCTCCTGCTCTGCTCCCCCCCTCTCCGCTTGCCCCGCAGCAGCAGCCACGGGGGGGCAGGTACTAGGTGCCTGCAGGTGCCTATCAGTAAACTCTGATCCCATTCAAAGTAGTCTGCCTGCCTCCTCCCACTCAGTCGCCCTACAGCTGGGAGGGGGGGGGAGGCAGTGGGCGGACCATTTGGGCAGGAGGGAGCCTGCGCACGCCCAAGCCACTGCCTGGAGAGACACGTGGCTTGGGTGCGCTACAGGTGCCACGGTGAGTGCCGCCTGGCATTTTGTCACCCCCCTCAGTGGTGACACCTGGGGTGGACCACCCCCACTGCACCCCTTGCTCTGCCCCTGCCCACGGGGGCGGAGCTAGCCGCTGCGGGGGTGCGACAGCGGCAAGCGTCCGGGGGCGGGGGCGGCAGCGAGCCTCCCCGGGGAGTGCGCCAGTGGGGGAAGCATCCCAAGGGGAGCACCGCCTGTGGTGATGTCCCCCCCCCTCAGGGATGACACCCAGGGTGGACTGCCCCCCACCGCCACCCTTTTCTCCCCCAGTGTTTGCAGTGAAAAGGGCCAGCAAGAGTTGTAAGCTGCAAATCCCTTTCCCCTACCCCTCCTGCCCCACTTTTGCCTACATTTCAACCACATTAAAAAAATCAAGTTTAATTTTACTTGACATTGAGTACTTGAATAAATTAGATCCATTAATTTCAGTGGGTCTTCCCTGAGTAAAACTTTGTTGAATACCATCCCAGGTGTTTTGCTTGTCAGTATCCCTCTTTGCTCAAGTAACAGGCACAGGCATTAGCTGACAGAAGCCCTTGAATGATTTATTTAGCAAACTCCAATATGTTAGTGGTTATGACAATATATTACAAACAATATATTTTTAAAAAACTGGGTAGTTTCTTTTTTACAATTGCATTGATGACAATCAGAATATTTACATATCATGGTAAAACTATTTTTGGTCTCCAGTGAGTTATGCTATTAATGTGATGTGGAGAGCAGAGGAGAACGGTTTTGAAAAAACAAATTGACATTCTGGTTAATGCACTATTTCCATTCAATATTATGGTGCAGGAAATGCAAATATTGATTCTGGAATCACTTGGTCTGCTGTTTAATGCACAAAATGCATCTGGTATAAAAGGAATGCGCTGCCCCAGTGAGCTCAACTGCCTGGTGCGCAAGTGGTGAAACCTGAAGTAATTTGCTAAATCATCCTTAGCGACTCATCAGCACATTCTGATTTTGCAATCTTGGCAGCCACCCCTTAAAGAAAATATTAAGAAAATGTTGAAGTTCAGCCCAGGATTATCAAAGGGAGGTCTGTGCTTTGCAGAGGTGTCAAATGATACCTTGGCAATTGTTGTGAAGATACACTGGTAAGCACCCTAGATTAGGGAAAGGTATTTGTGGCAATTGTTACTTGTAGCTTCAGAAATAGGGGATTAAATGTACCTTTTCCTCTTTTCTACAAATGCTGACTAGGAGTTGAACAAAAAATCTGTTGCTTTTAGAAGCAATGGAAATGACTTTTCTAGTGACATTGGCCTGGCAGTCGTCCCAGTCAGGCACCAGTAGTATTGCTCTACCTGATTAGAGTGCTACTACGTGCATTGCAAAATAGGCTTGCATTGATACCATGGAGCCTAAATTTAGAGTGTACATTGCACCTTTTATTTTTGTCAGGATCTTGGCAAGGAGATAGGGATGGGGGAATCAGTTTGATTCAGTGTGCATTTAAAGGCATATTGATCAAATTTGTACTTTCAAAAGCAGTATGGGAACCGAAGTACAACAGTGGCAGACTTTGGGCTTTAAAATTTCAGCGCTCATCTTCTATTATTCATCATTGCTTTTCTGCCCCCTGCAGCACCCTCTCAGGTCAACCAGTTGTGCTCCTCTAAATCCGCCTCTGAGCACAGGGATCCTTTGAAATCCACACTTACCCAAATTTTGTGATGTAGTTCTCCAGCCAAACAGTTTTTTAAAAAACAAAAACAAAAGTGCATATATTAGAAGGAAAGATCAGTTTACTAGTTAGAAATAACATACCAAATGCTTTATATTTAGGATAATTTACCTGCAGAAATGTGCACATCATGCAAAAAGTGTTGATTAGGCAAAATCCACCCTGAAATGATGGAGAGTTTTCCTGGGAATTAAAAAAGAAAAAGAAATTTGCAAATTTCTGTAGAAATGTGGAGAACCGAGTTTAAGATTGGAGAAATGAGAAACAGAGAACACAAATTGACAAATTATTCTATCCCTAGCCCGCAGCCCAATATAACAATATAAGGAGAAATTGTTGCTTATGGGTGGACAAATCTAGTTCAGTCCTCAGACAGTCAGCACCATATTCAAGAGGGGATGTTAACAGGGAGCAGATTCTGAACATTGCAGCTAATGACTCTGTGTAGCAGGGAGATGATCCTTTGCAATGTTGCGGTGCAAGAAGATTTTGAATCCCAGAAGGTTTTCTATAACCCTGTCTTAATAGCTACTTCCAAGCTGTGCCATAATGGATTGGGTCCAGAAATCAGAACTGGAGACTACCCAAGTTGTTATGTCATGCGATGGGGTCCCATGCTATTAATGGGGAAGCTGATTGTAACACTGTCCCTGTCCTGGTGTTGCAAGCATCTTTTTGGTTCCACCTGTTGAAGGAGGATCTGCCTATACTCCTGACGTTTCCTCCATTAGATCAAGAGTCCAGTCATATGGGGGGGGGCTCCATGAGTACACACGATCTCTCTCTCTCTCTCTCTCTCTCTCTCTCTCTCTCACACACACACACACACACACACACACACTTGATGCTGGCAAACATTCACACACTTCTTTCCTGCACACAAACATTGCCATTCACACTCCTGTCCTTTACTCTGGGGAAGGAGCAAGACTGGGTCCTCCTATCTTTTATTTTCAAAATCCCAGATCATTTGGGAACAGGCCCAAGCCACTGGACAGAAGCGTAGCAAGCTCAAGCGGTACCCGGTGAGGAAATTGTTTGTCACCCCCCCATTGAAATTATTAAAAGAAGGGAAAATAAGATACAGTTGCAAGTGAGCATAAACACTTAAAACTTTCCCCCCCTAACTTTGTTCTCACACCCCACCTCTCCTCCTGTGTGTTCCAGGGTTTGGGTCCTGAGTTGAGGGAGCTTTTGCTTCTCTCCTTCCCTCCCTGCTCCGCTTGTTTGCTCACCTGCCTCCTTCCCGTCCTCTCTGAGTCCCTCCCTCCCAGAGGTGTAGGAAGGTCAGGTGGTACCCAGTGCAGAAAATTTCTTGTCACCCCCCCCATTGATTGATATATTTTTTGCCTGCAAAAATGGTTTTATGTTTTCATATTTTCTTATAAAGGAATAGTAGTAGTAGTAGTAGTAGTAGTAATAACAACAATAATAATAATAATAATAAACTTTTATTTATATCCCACTCTCCCTAGCTGAAGTTGGGCTCAGGGCAGCTAACTTCAGATACATAACATTGGTATAAAATAGTAGTAGTAGTAGTAGTAATAATAATAATAATAATAATAATAATAAACTTTTATTTATATCCCACTCTCCCTAGCTGAAGTTGGGCTCAGGGCAGCTAACTTCAGATACATAACATTGGTATAAAATCAAACAATAATTAAATTACCTCATAAAAACATGTCAAAATCAAATTAAAGTCTACTTAGATGGATTTCTGCAGGGTTAGGGTTGGGAACAGTAAGTGCTCCACTGAATTGAAATGTCAGCCTTCATGGCATAGGAAAACGATCAAGTAAACAGCTATTTTTGTGGAGGAGGGTCAAGATATTAACTGATATGCATGAAATTTCATATATAGCTATATAATCCCTAGTGTAGTAAGATAAGACCTTTGGAGCAGGTATTTTCAAAAAAAGAGTTTTGTATGAACCGCCCTAGTAGGGCAGTAATTGTTCCTTGATAATTTGTCACCCCCCTCCATGATGGCACCCGGGGCAGACCGCCCCCCACCCCCTTCCTACGCCTCTGCTTCCTCCAGCAGCCTGGGAGCGCGGGGCTGTCAAAACGTTTCCTGTTGAAAATAAGGAAAATGCATGTGGTTTTGGGGCATCGTTAGACTGCTTCTGCACTCCAGCTAAACGTCACTTCTGCATGTAGCTAAGAATGCTTTTCGCTGATTGGCGATCCTACAAGTGAATACAGGGTATTCCAGCCTGTGTTCCTTAGTCTCAGGCACTCCAGCTCAGAAGCAAAGCCCACGAAGTGCAAAGAGTAAATGCCCTCAGACAGGAGGGAAAGTTGCACCCAGAAATGATCAGCAGCAGCAACATAAAAGAAACGAAGCAAGCAGGGCAGAGATTAGCTGGAGGGGACATGGGAAACAGCACAGAAGTGCAGTTAAGAGACAGTAAAAAAATTGGATAACCCAAAAGCCATATGGCCAAGCAAATTGTCACCTATTCTAATTGGTTGTGAAACCTTTACCCCAAAAAGACAAGGCTCTCTCTCATTCACCCAGCTTCCAGTGACTGAGCTGTCGGGGGCAATGGCGCCCCCCCCCCCGTGACTCCCAAGCATACCCCAAGCCGTCGGGGGAAGGGAGGGAGCTGTGCCGCTTTGCTGGTGGTGCCGGCTTGTCCTCTCTCTCCCCTGCCTGCCTGCCTGCCTCCTCCAGCTGGGCGCGCGGGGGCAACAGCATGTGGGTGCACAGCACACAGAATGTCACCTCCCATCAGGATGGCACCCGGGGAGGACCACCCCCACAGCCCCCACTGCCCCCACCTTGCGCCGCCTCTGCCACTGGGTTCCATTCCCTTTCCCAAAAGGACAGAAGCAAGCCAGAGGATCTGCTCAGGGAAGACAGGAAAGAGAAAGTTCCCATGGTGGCAGCTGCTCCTGGGAGGCGGCAGGAAGAGGGTTTGTGCAGGAAAAGGGAGGAACCCATCGCAAGTTGGCACTTAGGATGACGGTTCTGGTTGGTGCTTTTACCAGGAGCGTAGCCCACACTGTCGAAAAGAACGGTTGGACTTGGCCTGTGCAGGAAGGCAGTTGGCGTCTGAGCTTTTGAATCAGGCCAAGGCGAGCAGGATCCAGCAAGTGGGCAGAGGAAGAAGGCCTGGCAAGGGAGCACAGAGCTCAGCACCACCACCATGGCGACTGCGCCTCCGCTGCGCATCAAGTCTTCAGGGAGATTCACGTGTGGGGTCATATGATACATTCATATGAGTCTCAGCCTGAAGGGGGCATCTGGGAGCTTGTGCCCCCAAAGAGTTGTTTCTTTTTTTGGCCAAGAGGCACCACGGATGGATGACGGACTTGACACATGTGGCAGAAAGTGTATAGTTTTGATTTTTGGGGGGTGGGGGTGTGTCATTTTTTGCTAGGTATTTCAGCTGGCAGGGCTGAGCCCCTGTTGCCCTAGTGTACAAGCCTCATCACTGGTTTTACACCTTCCTGTTCAGAAGAAACCAGAGGCCAACCGGGTGGGTGGTCAGCCCAGGGCACTGAGAAGCTGCCACCTGCAGTTCAAAGGTTCACCACATGGGGGAGCTGCACACATAGCCAGGAATTGACATCTGGGAGTTTGCCAGTGTGAAAAGCTTTAACTATTTTTTTTTCTGAACCAAGTTTCTTCAGAATTCCCCATAATACAGAAAATCAGGCCTGCCAATTTTCATGAATCAGAAATTTAGAATGGATTTAACCCAATCAACCATCTGGGAATCACGCTACACGCTGACACTTTCCTCCGTTTTATAACATGCCTTTATTCCAACATGGAACTCAAAGGCGTGTCCCCCATCCAGCCACTGACCTGGCCCACACCTATTTGATTCAGCAAGGTTCCCAGGGAAGGTGCTCTCTGTTCCCATACACAGCAAGGAGCAATATGGAATGTGTTACAAAATCTAAGATATGGTTTATAACCGGTCTACTGAAAGGCGCTTTCAAAACCCCAAAAGAACAATATTTGAAAGCAGCCATGTGTGCACACTGACCCAAAATGCATCTGTGGAAGGAAGCCACCTTTTATTTCAGGTCAGACTGAATTTTTTGTTGCATTTGTCAGCCGTTGAAAGTCAACGAATAGCTCCTCCTCTGACTTTCACAGGAGATTAATCTTTGGAGATCACTCACAACCAAGCAAGATTGACTTCCATGAACACGGTCTTAACAGTGTGTCCGTAGGTGACTGTGGAGGACAATTCTGGATCCACACCTCCTTCCACAGTGGGGACGTAGGTTTCTGGGCAGGAGTTGATCACGGTGAGGGTTTGCCAAGAGAAGCGCCTCCTACGCATATCTCAAGGCCTGGGCAGGCATGTATGGGAGAATACAGTCTCTCAGATCTGAGCCATTATTTCAGTTGTTAAATAATATCTTAAATGAAAATTAATATATATTCTCTATTACGCTATGCTTTCAAAACATACCTTCAACCAGTACCTGTACAAGTGAAACTAATAATCCTGGACTTTCAGCACACACCTTTAAATGCACTTGATGCTATAAACCCCCACAAATCAGGACATACCCAGCAAATCCTGCTTCCCGTGCATTTCCTGTGTCTTGGCATCAGTGAAAACCTCCAAACAATGAATGTGTGCCTCCTGATTGGATAGTTTGCGGTGGAAGTCAACAGCCATGATTTTGTTTTTCTTGCTGCCTCTTTTCTTCTCAGCCTGAATCAATTCATCCATATTTTTCTTCTGAATCAAGATACTGAATGGAATCAGGATGCTGTCTGAAATTGAGGGCGGGGTGGGGGCAGGGGGCGGAATGTGTGACGAAATCCTAGAACCAGCAGCATAGCTAGCCAATCGGGTGCCTGGTGTGTCCTGCAGCTGGGGGCGGGGGCACTGTGTGGAGCCTCTCCGCTGCCTTCCCCTCAGCTGTAGGGCAGCTGAGGGAGAGGCGGAGGGCAGACGCAAGTCCCATGCTGCCGTTTTAGGCACCGCAGAGCCTGCAGGTGCCCAAACCACCATGTCACTCCCAGGAGAGACGCGTGGCTCAGGCACGCTGCAGGCCCCACGGAAAGTGCCGGCCCCCATGGTGTGGCGCCCAGTGCCAGCCGTGTTTCGTTACGTTTCTTGACTGAACTAAAAAGTTTCGTGAGCCCAATTTTTTTTAACTCATCTTTTTGTCACCCCCCTCAGTGATGACACCCGGGGCAGTCCTCACCCACCGCACCCCCTTCCTCCGCCACTGCCTAGAACATCAGTGGAGCAATCTTCACGAGGAAAGCTCATTGAAGTGATGGCCTTAGAAATTCAACTAGGAAACGGCTGTAATATTTTTCACACCACGATGTAGCACATTCAAAGTGAAGCCTACCTTTGGAAACAGATACTGCAACAATTGCGTGATGTAATTATTTCTTAGTGAAAGAGGTTTGTCGTTCAAAGGTGCATCTCAGAAAACCGGAGAGCCAAATCATAGAAATCTTACTGGAGTCTAGAATCGTAGAATTGGAAGGGACCATGAGGGTCATCTAGACCAGCTCCCTGCAATGCTTGAACTTTTTGCCCAGTGTTGGGCTCAAACCCATGGTCTTGGAACGAAGAGTCTCAGGGATTGAACCCAGAACTTTCTACATGCAAAGCATGTTCTCCGTTAGTGATCTAACATGGCACGCACCCCATCTAGAACCCACAGTTGAAATAAAAGCACTATTGTGGTCACTATTTGCTTCAGTGAGACTCGACTGGTTGACATCTATTATGGAATAATTTGACACCAATTATAATATATTTATGAGGCAAAATATTAGAAGTTTTCAAACTCAAAACTATCTTTTCACAGGGCTGTGGCCCTTCAGAAATTGCTGGACCTACAAAGCCCACAATCCTGACCCACTGGTCAGACTCTTGAGGGCAAATGGGAATTGTAGCCAATAACTGCAGTTACAGAGTGTCCCTATTTTCCAGGGACGCTCCTGGATTTACAGAAGCTGTCCCAGTTTCTGATTTGATCTCAGAATGGCCTGCTTTTCCTTAGGACATCCCTATTTTAATCAGAAAAATGTTGGAGGGTATGGAGCTAGGCAAACCCTGGGCCAGGTAACTACACAACCTTTAGAAGACATTTAGGGAGCATTTTAAATGTTAAATGTTTTATTATGTTTTTATATATGTTAAAAGCCGCCCAGAGTGGCTGGGGCAACACAGTCAGATGGGTGGGGTATAAATAATAAAATTGTTGTTGTTGTTGTTGTTGAATAGGACACCCCTATTTTCATCAGATTTCTCTGATGTTGGAGGGTATGCAGTCAGTGGGTTATAGGTTCTCCACCCCTGAGCCACCCACACATTTTACACGCTGGGATGTTATGCACTAAAGAGGCCAAAATGAAAGTAATGAGATGAACGGCCTGTAATGGCTTCTTCATCTAAAGCCAGCAGACCAGCAAGTTTTGAGGCAGGCGCTGGATGAATTCAACCCGTTTATGGCCTTCAATTACATTAAACATCCATGAAGCTGGAAATGCCTGAAACCACAACAGACTTGCATGTAGCTAGAAGATGTCATATTTTCCTCCTGAATGAGTCCTCAGCAATGTGTGGGCCTGTGGAAACTCAAAATACAACAAAAAAATTGTAATGACACACATTTGAAAAGTTCTAAATCAAATCCTGGTAATGCTGCATAAAAATAGCCGAAATGGAAAATCACCAGCAAAAATGTTAGAATGTTAAATACCAAACGATCTGCATTATTGCTCCCACAGTGATTAATGTACTGGCAGTTCCCCAACCTGTTGCAATTTAATAGCATGTGGGTTTTTTAAAAAAATTCCTAGAGCATAATCAAATATTATTTCATTAAAGAAACTTGAATGCTTGTTAACAAAAAAAATCCAAATTAACTGTCAACATATGTTGCATTCACTTTTTCAAATCAGAGTACATAACCATTTCTAATTGGCTTCCTGATTAATAAATGGATAGGGAATGAAGTAAATTATATTAAGAATAACTTGCAGTTTGCACAGGTTAGGAGGGGGTAAAATAGTTTTTCAACAGGAATCAAATAAATCTACTGAACATTTTGTTTTGTTTTACAATGCTGTGAAAATATGCAAGACATTGTGTTGTTAAAAGCTGGCTCAGCCACTGGAGAGGATGAATAAATACCCTTGGCCATATGAAAACTGCCAGTTAAATGAAGATCACAACATTGTTTGTTGCTATATAATGGTTACTTTTGCTATTAAGAGAGTAATTTCAATTTACAGAGGCTTAAGGCAATTTTCCATCTAATTTTCCATTTTATAGTATCTGCTAAAATCCTGGTGCCTTATTAGTTTGTGTGGTCGAATATAGTTTTCAAATTTCAAGACCATTGGTTCTTCTTGGGTTAAAGAAAATGTGATTAGATGGGTTTGTGTAATATACAGGAAACTTATGAAGCTGAAATCAAGGCAAGACTCAAATTGGTTAGAATGAGAAAGGGCCAAGATTTCATTTCAGCTATTAAAAACCTAGTGTTAGGAACTTTCAGAACACATTGTGTATTCTTGGATTATGGTTTTTAAAAATAACGCAACTTTCTGTTTTAGCTTGTCTCGGTTTCTATAGACCTGAAGCACAATCCACGGGGAAGTTGTTCTGTGTAAACCCAACTGTGATGCTTTGAGCTGTGCAAGAGCAGAGAACTTCCTGAGGGACTCTGCATCCCTTGAACAGCAAAATAAAACACTTGGGCTGCATAAATAGCTGGTGCTGAAACCTGATTCCGGGCAATTCAGATTTTTCATCCGACCCACCAAAATGTGTGCAAAGCAGGCCTAATGTCAGGGGTGAGCAAACTGTAAAACCTCCGCTTTCGTTCCCTATGTTGCAGATGCCAGAGCTTTATGTTATGGCCCATGAAAGAGCATTCCATTAAAAAAAGCAGTCTCAGAGGTACAGTAGCAATTTTCTGCGCTGATTCATACTTTTCTGCTGCAAGGCACATACATAGGCTGTATGTATGACCTGGGGGGTTATTGGGCTCGTCACTTGTAGATTTGGAAGGGGACAATGGGGTTTCCTATTTCTGTTCTGTTCTGTCCCATTTCGTTGACACTGCATTTCACCGAGCTGCGATAGCCCAGTTGGTAGAGCTCCAAATTGGGCAAAAGACTCCTGCATTGCAGGGGGTTGGACTAGATGACCACGGGGTCCCCTCCAACTCTGCAGTTATATGACTCCACCTGTTGCATAATGGGAACGGTGGGTTTTCTATCTACATGCTGCCATGTCACAATAAATTTCATTCATGCCAGTGGGTGCTGTGTGACACAAAAACAAATGTCCTCTTTGCCATCACTCCTCTCCCCTTTTAAGGGCACGAGTGCTTCTGTTCAGCACATGGGCAGGTTCAGGGCATGTTTCATTCACGAAAATCAGCCAAAGGCCTGGTTAAAGAGGAATGTTTTTGCCTGGCGCCTTCATTATATTTAATTTCCCTTCTCTTCCCTCCCCCTCCCCTTTTATGAAGATCACCCGCTCTGAGACCCCACAGCTAATTCTCCCCTGGCCTCCTCACTGGCCCAAGTAGGACTAATTCAGCCAGCCAGCCCTGGGGATTATCTAATGCTTATTTCCCCTAAATTGATTTTTTATTTTTGAATTTTATTCAAAAGAACAGACCTCCGGAACGAATTAAGTACTTAACCCGAGGTACCACTGTACCAAATGCAAGTCTCGCTGGTTTGGGGTGGGACCAGGTATGGACAGGTTAGTGACTCTGGGCTCTGCCCACCTGTCAAATGTGCTCTGTGGAGGATTGGTCACTATTTGATCCAGCCCACTGGATGGACGTTGTTTCTCTACCGCCAGCCCCCTTTGCCCGAAAGCAATGATAATCAATGCTTAATTGTTTAATTATATGTATCACAGAATCTTGAAAGTACTTTTGGAAAAAAACCCTTTCATCTGTTCAAGGGGAAATGAGAGAGTTCATACACACACACAAACACACACACACACACACACACACACATGCTGCCCACTTTATTAACCATTTTGGCTTTAGCTGGGCGCTGTATTTTATTCTCAGACACCTCCTCACAAATCCCATAGTCTTTAGCAAATGCAGACCTGGCAAGTGACGTTGACTCTGATTTAAGCCATTGCTCACATACCTGGGGACAAATCTAACAACTAGTAAATGCCTTTACACCAAAAACCTTGGCTTTTTATTCTCTTTGATCCTAGTATCAATTAGCAGCTAGTTGGGATTTTGATGTAGAAAAAATGATTTCTTCAGCCAACTGGCAAACAACAATTCTTTGTTTTTGGATTTACAGTTGCAAGCTGGGTGGCAAAAGAACATTTTGGAAAGCTTCATATCAAAGTGACTTCTGGAGCACAGTTTTATTAAAATAAGCAGAAGTCCTTTATTTACATAGCTAAAGGCCAACTGGATTAAAATAGCTGTTAGTTTAGCCCTGTTTCTGGAATTCCAGCTTCATTTTTCTTCTTAGATCTGCCATTACTGTCTTCTTTCTATTGATCTCGCTCTCTGCTCCTTACCGTACTTTATCTCTGCTGTTTGTGTTGGTAGTGGAGAAAGATGTTACATTACTGACTGGTTGTATGTGCTGCCATGCTCAGCCCATGCCAGGGAAACCTGCCCTTGTAGTTCAAGCTGCCAGATGTAAACATGATCTCTTGAAACCCCCACGCTTCAGTCCCACATACCTTACTGACCAAAG